CACACACACACACACACACACACACACACACACACACACACACACACACACACACACAGAATTTAAAAGGATTTAACCCACTCAAACTACTTGAAATCAAAAGCTATAATCAGGTTGTGTTCAGAGAGGGAAGGCTGTCACTTGAGGCAGTAAAAATGAGGGTTGGTGAATATTTTCCACTGAAGTTCTGCGTACAACTCCTGATTCAGTCCTCTTCTCTCCACATCTGTCCTCCAAAGATCCAGACTTCTCTGTAATTTGTTCAAGCGCCCTGGAGGAAACATTTTCCACACATTCTGAAGGTCTGTCAGAGTTTTTTCACTCTGTGTCAGTCCTTGTTCATTTATTATGAACCCCGTACGCCAAGCGTAAGTGGGAGTCTTATTGTTTTCGTACTGTTTATTTTTGGTCAACTGTAGCACAAAAATGGCTGCACCCATCAACATGAAATTAGTCAGGACTGTAGATGAGTCTGACCTACACTGCACCAGCCAGCGGTTTTACGATAGACCCCATATTTGAAGAGGGGGCTCCTTTCAAAGAGGGGGTGTCAGGACATGCAAAAATGCTTACAACTCAGAAACTGTTCAACATAGAAGCTTCAGATTTCTTTGGTTGTTTAGCTCTGATATCCGTTAGGTCACCCTGTTTAAAACACGAACCCTTCATTGTTTGAAAAATCCTCGTCTTTCCTTTGAACAATAAGCAAAAATCAAACAGTAATTTATGGGAAAGAAAATACACAGTTGTCTAATTGAACCCTGGTCCGTACCTTAACAGTCATCTTCTGCAGTCCTGATTTGAAGTGGAAAATCCCGTGTTTACTCTTCTTTGCTCTGGAAGACATGATTGTTGTAAAGAAGCCACCACAAGTACAAACATCACAGAATACATTTAACAGTTTTGATAAAACCAACAAAACCAGCGGAAGCGGCAGACTGCTGTGTCTCAGAATGAAAAAAAGCAACACAACTGATGCTCTCCATACATCCTAACTGCAGCAGGTGTATATTAGCAGTAGACCACCTCCTCAGTCTGAGTCATAGATGAATAATCCTGGTCCTGGAGGGCCGCAGCCCTGCAGGTTTTACTTGTTTCTCTGCTCCAGAACACCTGATTTGAATGAATGGAGATCTTGAGAAGGGAATTCAATGACTGAATCAGGAGTGTTTATCAGGCTCGGGGGAGATTTAGAGCCAAATGCAGGCAGGCACAAGGAACTCAGGTGAAACAAAACTCATTTATTAAAGAAACAAAAGCCGACAAGGCAGGAAAAACTCACAAAACATCAGGGTTGAGGAACACAGAAAACATCCGAGAGCCTGACACCTAGCTAGGACTGGGACACTGGAGCACTGATGGACAGGAGAGAGCTGATGAGGACAAAACACTGAGAGCAGACTGAGGGAGAAAATGAGAAACTAGAAGCACTTGGAGAGTGCAAACCTCCGCCAAGACCAATTTCCTCCATCCTGTAAGAGTTAATGCACAAAAGCAGAGATGGAAACACATTTGCTGAATAAGTTCTGACGTAGTGAACATTTAAGCAGCAGTATGATGGGATTTCTTCTCTGTGGAGTCCAAAGTGAAAAAAAAAAATACAAAAGTCAGACTGGTCACCTGACGTTATTCCTGGTCAAACTGGTGTGGGATTAAGCTCCTAAGTTTTCATCACTCAGATTTCACC